GTGTCTTGAACTTTCCAGGATTTCCCGTCAAGAAAATTTTCAATTTTTCTATGTGAGGCTAATTTGTTTTGAAGTATTCGTGTTAGAATACTTTCAAGACTGTCGTCATTTATTATTTCCCTTTCACTCTCATATTCTCAAATTTGATTAGGAAATTTTTTACGTTTTTTTTTTTTTTTTTTTTTAGGAGGGGTTAATTCTTGATAGAAAAATCTAGGTAATTATATCATTTTTTCAGCTGGTGATGCTTATGAAGATGCTGTCAGATTGATGGCATATTTTAGGCATTTAGTAACTGAATGCTCATGTCAGTCATGTATTTTACGTTAATGATCTCTTCGTCACTGATTTATAATTTATATAATATCTAACTTTAGCTTTATTGTGCATTTAATGCAGTAAAATATACAATTGATACTGTTCTATTAACTAACTTATCATGTATTTGATTCTTTCTTGGAAGTATGACTTTTCCAAATGCTTTACATTTACTAATTATGATATGACACTTTTTTTTTCGTTTCTTCACATTAGCATTCCGTCAAACGTATCTGTTAATGTGTTCTTGAACATGAGATTGTATTAAATTTGAAATTGTTTGAACTTAATTAAATGACTTGTTTCATAATATATCTAAATATATAATTCGAATTAACTTATTTATAAATTATCCTTTTTTTTTATCTATTTGTAAAACAAATATATATTTCTGATTTAACAGAAAGTTTTGCAGGCAATTTCAGTACAAATATTTCACTAATTTTTTTAACCGATTAATATAAGTTTGTAATGCTTCTTCTGTTGTAATTAGGATTTATGAATTGTTGAATCTACTACAAATATTTTTCTACTTATGCTTTATCACCGAAAATGGATCATGATCTCTTGTTGATGGTACACCTGTGTTTAAATATATTAAATATATTAAATGTGAACATTGGCTATCCAATTCAAAAGAATCTTGTAGCATTCTATTGATTCGTTTAATCTATGCTTCAAGCAAATCTTTTTCTATATAATTGTTATGGAGTGTTTTCTTAATTTATAATGCTCCTGTTTTGGTGTCATTGAACAATAATATTGCATTTTAATATTACTGTTGAACTGTTTAAATAATTTTTTTTTTTTTTTGTGAAATTGCATTTAAATTATTTATTTCTCAAATTAAAATATTGTCGTAACACAATTTGCATTGGAATGGTTCTCCATCGGATAAATTTATACTTTAATTTGTACAAATTTTTAATCATTTTACTTTTTTTTTTTTCATCAGGAAAAGAACTAATGGATTGTTACAGTGGATAAGTTTAATGGTTAGTACTAGGGTAGTATTAAAAGAGAAGTTGAAATTTTTTTGAGAGTTGAAATATTGTTTTTACCTAATTTTATCCAAATGTTTATCAAAAACTGATGACATACCTGTTTAAATATATTAAATATAGATGATCATGTGGCTTTCCAAAAGGATTTTGTAGCATCTGTTGATTCGTTTAATTTATGCTCTAAAAAGATATATTATTGTACGAATTTAATTAGCTGATTTATTTGCAGTATGTTGAACAAAAGAGTAAGAGAGGAGATAAGATTGGTTGTGTGATGTTCAAGTTTTACAGAATATCTATTCGAATTATTTAAAAGGTTAGAATTGTATTTAGAATATAAAAGTTCAAATCATTATCCTTTCGTATTGATAGAATTAACCGATTTCAATTTGGAAATTTTAAGCTAGAAGGAATTGAAGTGATTCATTTATAAAAGCTCATTCAATTCAAATTTGACTTAGCCATCTTTTGTTGATGGTTGTTTCCTAAGGTAGGCATTATCGTCTGTGTGTTGTACAAATACTTTCAAAGATGTTTTCATTTTATTACAGGATTTCTATTAAACAATGCCGATTGAAATAGTGGCAAAATTAGATCGTGAATCCGCGGTATATCTTGCTGGGGAAGCTATACAATGCAAGGTTTTTCTTTTTTTTTTTTTTTTTTTTTTTTTTGGTTGCAAACTGTTGTTGTGTTCTATCTAATATATAACTATTATTAGATAGAGTGATAGATCAAGCATTCGAGCTAATATTATATCTACGTTAACATATTAAGTTTGCATTTTTCCTAACTTTACTTATTATACTGTCCAATTCATTATCATAGATTATCATTCCAAAATATTCTAAGTCATTAACAATCCATTCATAGTCGTTTTTCCTTTTTCGCTCTAGCTATAGAATTTAAACTGGGATTTTCTTTATGATAGAATTTAAATCTGATTTTCCTAAATTTCCCATTCATCTTTAATTTTGACCATGTATAGTCTACTAAGTGTTCATATAAAGCAAGTATTATTATTATTTATGCTATCATTAATAGATTAGTCATTAGTGCTGTATGGCTAAAACATTTTTATCAATTTTTTTTTTCTGATAAAGCTAATTTTCATAACTACTTTTTGATTTCTGGAATTTTTTTTTTGTGAAAATTCTCAAAATGCATTTCATTTTAGTATGATATATCCACAATATGTTATACGAAAATTAAACCGTTATAATGTAACTCTTTATAAATATTATGTTATTAGTGTTTTAGGTAATAGTACAAAATATTGGTAATCATGAAGAATCCTTAGCATGGGGAAGCGTTCACGTACAATGCGAACGAATTGTCCAAGGAAATAAAGCCGATATTTCTTTATCGAGAAAAAGTTCAGGCGAAGAAAAATCGAAAACGGTTGCGACAACTGCAATGTCACGTTCCGCTTTTACCGTTTTTTCTTGCCGACCGGTTATTTTATTTTGTGAACTGGTGCTACATACTGGTGAAAGTCGTAATTTTGAATGTACGCAACAGTTACCATTGGATTCTATACCACCATCATTCAAGTTTATATTCTTATTTCATTTTGTTGCTTATTAATTCATATTTATTTTCGAAGAATATTTTTTATGCTGCATGTCATTTTGGCCTAATTCACATTATATCATAATGTTTACATGTTTTCAGAGGACATCTTGTGCGTTATATCTATAAATTGACGCTTGGCGTGCAACACGTTAAGTCACCAATCAAACTGATACACGTTCCATTACGAATCATACAATCTGATCTTGGATTGACGTTGCCATCCTCACCGACGCTTGTTAACCCTTTCATTAACAACCGTAGTGTTGGGTAACAACTACTTTATTAATTTAGTGATGCTCGCTTTTGTAATTATGGATTGTTTGTGTAATTTTCACATTATGTTTTCGTTTTCACAAGCAATTTAGTTTTAATTAAATGCTTGCAATTCGACCTTTTCAAAAAAAAAAAAAAAAATCCGATGTTTCAGACCGTCAATTGTTGATTTAGCTATGGAAGCGAGTGACTGTTTAACAGCACCTCATGGAGTTTATAGTTATAATATAACAAATGCATTCGGTCGAATTGCCAACTTTTTGCTGAATAAAAAAGCCTACAAATTAGGGGAAGATGTTATTGGGAGATTTAATTTCGATAACTGTGCCGTACGATGCCTTCAGGTTTATAGTTTTATATTTTATAAAAAAAAATTTTTTTATATTTTTTTAAGCAGTTGCTAGAAAATACTTAGTATAATTACCGCTTCTTACGCCGTGTTAGTTTTTTATCTTGTAGTAAATAAATTATATATATAGAACGAAAATTCTAACTGTTGAAAGATGAGGTTTTTCGGTTTGATGTTACATCGAAATTGAGAGTGTGATCATTTAACTCACTGATTATAAATTAAAAAATGCAAAGTATATTGTCGTCAGGACAACAAGTGCGTCTTCAAATAAGCGAAGAAAAAGCATTCCAATCTTTTCTGATCTATATATCTTCCCTACTACTTTTCTCACAAAAATTGGAGAAGTCAATTAATTTTTAATACACACTCTGCTCAGTTTATTATTTGTTCAAAATTAATTTCAGTTTGCTGTTAGCTTACAGTCAGTTGAAAACTTAGTAAATGAAGAATGGTGTTCACATACATTTGTAACTACCCATATGACTGAGCATATTGTTTGTGCATATTGGACTGAAGCAACAATACGACTACATATACCACTTTCTGCAACATCTACGTTTTATACAGATACAGGTAAGTTTTCAAAGTAATGATTGAGTATAATGAAACATGAAAAAAAAATTTTAAGGTTTGTTTAAGATCTTTTAAATGCTACTTGGTAATACATAAAAAAATTTGGAAAATTGGCCTTTACATTTCCAAAATGAAGAAGCCTTTAAACCTTTACATTTATATAAGTTTGTATACCACTAATTTGCTAAGTTAACGTTGAGAATAAATCGAAGTAATGATTAGTGAAAATGAAAAATTATCTCTTTAACTATGTAACCTTTCGTAGTCGTTTTAAGCATTAGTCATGTACACTTCTTTGCATATATGTTTGTGAAAAGTTTTCATTTATTCTTTTAGTGTTATACCATTCATAGCATATAGCATATTATCCATTTTTGTATATTTTCCAGTTCATTTGAAATGGCGCCTTCATTTCGAATTCGTAACATGTAATGACTTTAATGAAGAAGTGGAAGAAGGTCTCTGGCAGGCACCTACAAATGTTAATATAGAAACTATGGCATGGGATTTGGATATTAAGGTTTGCTACTATTTTCAAGTACCAAATTTTTATTTCTCGTAGCCTCTAATGACTAGAATAAATGTTCCTACAATCTGATCAAATTTCAGGTTTTCCCATGTAATCCACATAATGCAGCTCTTACATTACCAAGTCCAACTACTCCTGCTTCCATTATTGTTTAAATTGTAATTTATATCACAAGAAGCTAGGGTTGTCTTTTTTTTTTTTTTGTTACTGTATATAAAATAGAATGCTAAAAACAAAAATCCAATATGATCACAATTTTATACATTTAGTCAAACTTACAATGAAATGAAATTCTGTACAATTTGTAAGTCACCGAACTATGAAAGGAAAACTTTAACAAATGAATGAATAGTTGGCTCCTAGCGTAGCCAAAGATTTATATCGTTTCGAAATTCACACTATAATTATTAAAAGTACAGGAAGCAATAACGGAAGTTTGTGGTGAGAAATCTGCATCATATAACAGTTTTTCACCTAGTTTGTTATTTTCCTGAAGAATATCAAAATTATCCTTTTTGATTACTATCCAACCACCGTACATGCATGAGACAACATACGATTTTTCATCAGCAATGCGTATGCTCCATGCACTACCATTTATCTGGAAAATGAATGTTTTTGTCTGTGAATTAAGTTAATTTTGTTTTTATTTTCAAATATTTTTCTTCCGAGACTCATACTACATAAAAGCGAATTTTAAAATTTGAAATTGAAATGATTTGCCGGAATAATTTTACAATTCGATGAGTAGTATAACTCGAAATTCAGGTTTCCTTTAGGTAACACATATATATATATATATATATTAGCTAAAAAAGTTTTAAAATGTACAAAATTTTAATTTCTAGTTTGATTTGAGAATCATACGAAATTCTAGATTACAAACTACGATCCTCTAATCAAATATCTCATTATTATTTCTAGAATAAATTTTTTTATAAATTTTAAAATGTCGAAAACAGAAATAAATTTGAAAAATAAACCTTTTTGTCAAGAATATATTGAGCGAAATTCCTGAGATCGACGCGATGTAGGTGATCATCGTATGAACCACTGATAACATATTTTGAATTTTCTGTATGAAGCGAAATGACACCGCACTGATGTGTCTTATTAACAGTGACTGGTTGTTTTGTACCTAATCGCAAATCCCATAGTTTTAGTAGATTATCTTCACCGCCCGATAGGGTGCAATTGGTATCAAGCCAAGTCGTTGTCCAAACCTCACACGGTTCATCAGTATATGGTGAAGTATGTCCCAGAAAGGAGAAAGAAATGTTTCCTAAAAATGAAGAATACAAAAAAACACTGATACATGGAAAACTTCAAAATAAGTAGAAAGATGCTGATACTTCCATACCTCTCGAATTTATCTATCTTATCTAAAGATAGATAAATTATTTTAATTAATTTACTAACTAACAGAGATCTATGTCAGAAACCTGAAAATTATTCTACATTGCTTAGATTAGCCACGGTAATCCGATTAACACTAATATTAGAAAATACTTCCTATCTTCTGTGTTAAAGTACAATTAACAGAAGAAACCAGATATTAAGCGCTGGAAATGATTTCATTCTGTGCTTTTACTATTTATATTTTATCACCTTAATTACCATATCATTTTTTTTCCATTGGTGTGCTTTTATAGTTGAGAATGAAATTTAATGCTGAGATTTGATATAAATGTTATTCCATATATAACTCGAGGAGTATTTCTACTTTCACTCTTAAATTTAAAAAATTACTACTCCAATGTCCACAGTTTCAAGATCTGAGCTTTAATGCAAAAAGAAAAAAAAAAAATACCCGTTTCTAGATTAATAACATGCACTGTTCCACAAACATCAGAGCAGAGTGCAAAATTTCCACAAATTGCAATCGAAAGTAGAGTTTCCTTTTTGGTCACCGGCAAAATATGTGCAGCATCCAAATTACTATTGACCACACCAATTGATCCGGTTGTTAAAGCAGAAATAATATACCCATCAGGCTGCATAGCAAAACGGAAAACTCCTCCCGGTAAAGCGATTAATTTATCCACCTTATTTCCATGTAATCTGTATATGCTACCGGAATGAGTATTATGGTTATGCAGCTGATAAGTTGCAACAATACATTTCAGCGATTTCTTCTCTATAAATTCCAAAGCAGCGGGTTTTTCATGGAGGATGAGCGAGCAAGTCTCCATAATTAGACTTTCCCAAATCTAAAGATTTAGTTGGAAAATATACAACGAATTATTGCTGCCGAACACTTCGATCAGTTTCTATTAGACATTCTCGTACAAGAATCCGAGCACGGATGATATTTCGTTTCAAACGTTCTGAACAAATTTTATTGTTTGTATATGATGGTCGAATATCCTTTCCCAATTCTTCAATCACCTACAAAGAATATTTGAAATTTTATGCAATTCAATATTTATTCAATTCAATACTTAAGAAGAAAACCAATGATTAATGAAAATGACTGACATGTCCACCGACTATTCGAAAGCCATAGGAAGTTCGGAAATCATGTAAGTTTGTATATTATTTTGAAAATAATGAGGATCAATTCAAAAAACAAATAATTAAAATCTGCGAATTTATAATTCGAAAATTCAAGAAATAGGAAGCAACTAACACTCAATAACTGAGTGTATTTTGATGTTCCTGATACTTGGGCAGCCGGAACTGAGTATTGCGGAAGTGTTGCAGTAGTTGATGATTGATTAGAGGTTAATTGCTGTATAGTATGTCCACCAGTTTCACCCGACATAATACTTGTCGGATGATTTACAGCACTACCTGAAAATAACACGGATGATGACTGATTAATAAGTATCAAAATTTTCTAAACCGACGATTATTTAAAAAACGAAAAAAAAGAAAACCGGCCAGTTCATATTAATGTATCATAAATTCAACATATTATACATGTATATATCGAAATATCCGTAAATGAGTGCAAAGATCAAAATTTATTCCGGAAAACGAATGGCGCAGAGACAACACGAGACAAATTACTCTACAATCGTTGCATGCTATGGTACATGAAATAGAAGTGCAATCCGGGATATTCAATGAATCATATCGGAGCTGCCGGATATATAAATTGGAATTGCCCATAAATTGGAATATCATACATTTCCTAGAATTGTTATTCTTTCCGGAAATTTTCTTTAAATTGTCGTACAAAATTTTTTATCCGGAAATCTTATACTGTGAAATCAGGATTATTTAACATTAAGCTTGACTCATATGAATGTCATAGTAATCTTGCATAATAGATTTAGGTATTCAACTTAAAATTTAAACGAATATTATTCTTTGTCCCAAAATTGCTACTAAAATTGTTTAAGATTAATTAAATTATTATTTTTCCGAAAAATATATTAACTTTATTAGTTTCCTAATTCAATTTAATGATGTATTATATTCTATATATCTTTTTAACAGATTATTTTAATAAAGTCTATCATATTTTCTATATCATACCTTTTGCATTTTAACTTATATTGAAAATTTTGAATATTGAAGTTTTGCAGTTTAACTTTAGTCTAAAATCAATTGTAATTTATGGGTATCTATGTGTTTAACAAGCTTTTAGAATTTTTTATCAGATTATTTTGGATTTTACTAATTAAACGGAACATTAATCGGCTTCGTGCTATTTATTTAAGTGTTAAAAAAAAGATTTTGTATTAAAATATGTTTTGAATTGGATGCAATAAATTAATTTTTCAGTATTGGCTTGGTAATATTGATTTGAATTGAAGAACATTAGCTGAATGGCTAACGTGAGATTTCATTTTTGTATTATTATTATTTTTTTTTTATAAAGGCTTAAAAGTTTATTATATTTTACTGGATAAATTGAATTTAAACTATGGAAGATAAACTTCCGAATAAGTTTGTTTTATGTGAGGAAGTCATTCACATCCAATAAGAAAGAAATCCGGATTTCTGAATCTTCCTTCATTATAGCTATTTTGGTTATGAATAAATGATAACTCACTACTACAGGTATACAGGTATATTATATGAGATCTATTTACTGAGATTCATTTGAATTTCAGACATATACATTTGAATTAAACATGACATGTGATGGATGTGCAAATGCAGCACGAAAAGTATTGTCGAAATTAGGTGGTATGTCAATCTTTGATAATGTATTTTTCCGAAATTTCAAAGAAGGTTAAATGCTGAAAATATTTAATCAATAAGTTAATTCTCTAAACGAATTAATATCAAATATCGAAAACTGGTGGTCATCAAGTGTTCCTTTCTTGTAATTTCATTCATTCTTTCTTTCACTTCTTAATTTGTTGGCTTTTTTTTTGCAGATGATATATCAGATGTACAAATCAGTATACAGGATCAGCGTGTCGTTGTTACAACCACACTACCAGCTGATTCGATACTTGCAGCACTGCAGAAAACTGGTAAAAAATGCAAGCAAATTTGTTGAAGGAACTCTCATCCACCATCAAAAGTTTTTTTTTTAAATGATTTTAATAGTTCCTTGAATGAAGAGAAAAGTTCATGCTAATGCATTCTGGACTATGTATGGATTTGGAATTTTTAATCATGTCATCGGTTTTCACCATACTCAAATCCTGAATATTTTTCTGAATTTTTAGCGTGATATTTCCATTCTTGTTTTATAGCTTTCCTTTTTCCCATTCCTGTTCTTTGAGAGCGTTCCTAGTTTAGTTCATTTTTTTATTATTAAAATGAGGTTTATCTAGGTTTTTGCTGCTGTATTCAACTGTTTTTTGTACCTCTACTATCCAGTTTTATTCAATTAGATCTCGGTGCTTGAAGAGCAGAACAGGATCCGATATCATTTTATCTACTAATTATTTATATTCATATTTTATCTACTAATTATTTATATTCACACAGAACAGGATCTTTGTCCAATTTATCATCGTTCCAAGTAAAGTTTTGATTTGACTATCATTTTATCTACTAATTATATTCATATTTTGTTCGGTACCTTGCTATATTTGTTCAATAATTTGGCTGCTATTCTAATTTATTCATTAATAAGGGATAATTAGCTTGTCTCCATTCTTCTATCTCTCCAAACTCATACTTTTATATTGAATGAAATGTTAAATCTGATCATAGTTGAGCACATTATATTGAAGTTTTATTTCAACACTTAGTTTTCACCGGCTTACCAAAGCATGCGATGTTTTAGTGGAAAACATTATCTGTCGTGTGCAAACATCACCAAATATGTGAGCCATACGAAGGAAATCAAATTTCGTGTATAGCATACGAACATGAGCATAATCACAATCCACCTGATTAATCATTTCGTGATAAAATTTGGGTTGTGCCGGAGGTTGATAAAAAGTGAGTGACCTGATACCCTGAATTATAGAAAAAAGGAAACATAAGAGATTTGAAAACTAAAGCACTTTAAAGCGACTTAACTTAGAAAACCACTTAATTTCAATAAAACGTCTGTGCCTAAAAATAACTACTGAAATAGAGGGATAACCGAAATAGGCATTTCCCATAGAGAAACTATTGGCATCTTAGTTATTTTCTCGGAATAAAAAGAAGAATCATAAAAGCTTTATAAATACCTTAATATTATAACGTCGATAGAAATGAAATCGTTCTGTTATAAGCATAATTTTCTTTTCCTTCTTATAGAATAATGCCCGCGCTTTTGCTACCTGCAAATTATGGCTTTATTTTAGAAATTGTAGTTTTTCTACCAGAAAATCTCGGGGAAAGGATGTCACTAATACTGTGAATCAGAAATCATCATATCATTATTTCTCGAGCGAAGACAAAAGCAACTGAGAATATACCAAATCACAGTCATAAACTTTTTTCCCCACTATTTGGTATTTATTGCTTCTGGAGAAAAAGATAAGCAGAAAGTTTAATAGTAAAGACTGACCTTTCCCTCCTTTGCGTACTCATGAAGTTGGACGAAGCTTTCATTTTCATTCTTTAGATAGTTCCGAATTCTTACGAAGTCAAAATAAGATGGGATAAAAATAACTGTACCCAATTCACACTTCGGCAGAATCTTTTCCTGAAAGATCATTTGTATTTATTTCGAAGGTAGCATCTATCTCTATGTCGGCGTATATGTGCATGTACATATCATTTCGTTAAAAAAATGTTCTATAAAAAAATTCATTAATTTTCAAAAGTTCGCATTATCCTTATTGACTTGGATAAAAATACCTTGAAAAAATTAAATCGGATATCAGACTGATTCTCTGCTACGTCAACATCGATTCGTTGCAACTCCTGGCAGTATGGAATCTCTATCTGAAATTGCCAAAATCTCCGATAACGGTATCAATTATTGCATAATAAAGAATTACTAGTTCGAGATTTTATGTTTATTCCATATTTGACCAAAATTATCATCATACCAGAAATTTCCTTCAATGAAAAAATACTTTCTTATATCCTCATTGATCAAACTGAATATCAAAGTCGAGGAAAGGCAAGTTATTATTAACTGTATATTGCAGAAGTTGATTAACTAATTTCACGTTCGCTTGAAAGTTTAAATATCCGTCAAGTTTATAGTTATTAACCCTGAAACTTTAATCTACTTTGTACAAAAAAGAGGAAAAAACAAACATTATTTAGCAATCCTTCACTTCGTGTCAGTAGCTTGACAAATCCAGCAAAATTCTTACAATAAACAGCAAATAATGCGTCACATTCCGCACGACGTTCTTCTGATATTAGCACTGTTTGCCTAATAATATAATTTATTTCCTAATTTGATAAATCCTATTAGTTTATACACATATTGTTCAAAAGTTAAAAAAAAAAAGACCTGTAAAATTTGGAATATTGTTCAAGGCTCCAACGCCGAACTCGTGATATATCAACTGTGAGTTTCTTGGGTTGTATATGTAAACTACTCATAATATTTAACAAATGTTCCCAATTTTGCATTAGCAATATGTCAGCCTAAATTTCTTTAACTGTTTTTCTTTAAATAACATAAGTTTTGAGCAAGAAAAGTATAGAAATCTTCAATAACTAAATCTAGTATTTGATTTCGGTAAATTCTGATATTTATGAATATTATTCATCCCGACAATCATTTTTCACCACAAAAATACGTTGTAAAAGTAACGAAAAATTCATAAAAATGACTGTTTTAAATCCTTTCAAAAAGAAAAACGAACCTACCTTATCAATGATTAACACTTCTATGGAAGCCAAAAAGTCCGTTTCACGTTCCTCACTACCTTCACCTACAATCATCCGTAAACCAAGTGGTGAAGCAATTAAAATATCCGATTCATCAAATGCTGTATAAAGTTTTAAACTTTTTTTGGCAATTGCAACACCAATCCGGAAGCAATCATCAATATTTCCACTCATAAGTTCCCGATAATCAACAGAAACCTGAAAAGTAATAAATAAAATTGGTGTATGAAAAAATGAAACGAAAACACACACATACGGGCAATAAAAAAGAATACCTAATGGCAAATTTGATAAAACATCGATAAAACTTTTACTGATAAATTGATAAAAACATAAATGCGATTGAGATAAATGAACAGTCTCGTAAAATTGGCGGTGATTTTTTGAAACTTCAACCTTTCTTTTTTCTGATATTTTGAAACCCGTATCGCCATACTCCGTTTTGAATCGCCGATAATTCGAAATAAACGGCTTATCTGAATCACCAAAAATTAGCATTCGAAAATTTTCAATAATTGGAAAGACACCCTTTTTCATTGGGCAAATAATTAGCACTTTTGGTCGAGATAATCCTTGATCACGTGCATTTTCGATATCATCATCGGTTAGTGTTCCCTGAATATGAAATTTAAACTTGAAAAAAAAATTTTCATTAGTTAGTTAAAAATATTTTAATAAAACGTATAAAAATATGAGAAAACATATGATACAAATATAAAACGTGAATAAATGATCATTCCTCTTTTCTTCCGCATCAAAACTTAGTCTCGAATCACATAGTAAAATTTTTGAAGTATATTAAATCGAAAAAAACCACATAGTATAATTTTCAAATCATACAGCAAATGTTGGGAGCAAGTGTATTAAATGAAAAAGATATACTATTATTCTGTATATGTTCGGTAAAATAAAGGAATATTATCTTATCTACCACAATGATACAGCAACAAGATTTACTAATATTTAACTAATAATTAAATGAAAATGATTTCATTAGAAAACAAAAAAAAAAAAAATCACCTTTTCGCGACGTTCTTGCAAAAATTGCTTATTTTTTATTACGATATTTCGTGTTTGCATAACATGATTGATAGCATGCAAACAATACAATGGCTAAATTATTTTCGCTTTATAGTTTAAAATTTTGATTCAACTTTGAAAAGATGAAAAAGAGGAATTAAGCAGGAGATTTCTCCATAATTTACTTTACATTATATTCACTAGATAATTATTAGAAATGATGAAAGAAACAGTAACTGTGCAATCGATTTTTAATCCTGCTGCATACAGATCGATGTATCTGCCGATAATGGAATATAATGATAGCTGTGCTTTGCTTAGTGGATTTCCATTAAAAATTTCAAAATTCTTCACTAATCTTGAATTTAGACCAAAATTTCTAATTTCTTCCTGTTTTAGAGTAGTATCATCAAGTTTAAAATAACGCTGTTGGAATAAACCTATCCCAAGATCTTCCTGAAAAAAGAGTATTACATACAATAATTCACAAATTTTGATTAAAGTGCATTTAACAAAATAAATTATATGCAAATACCAACCAGAACAATACGCTTCGATTCATTTGTTGATGCTAATAATCCATCCGCAACAACTGGATCTAAAGTTTGCTCGAAATGTTGATGGAAGTAATTTGTGGTAGTATTCTCACCATCTCCAAATGCTTCCCCAAATTTTCGTTTCCCTTTGATCATGCCTTCTTTCAGTGCGACTTCAAACTTATAAAATTCATCGAATATTATGAAAAAGACTGAAATCCGAAGTACTATTGACAAAAGAGAAATAGCAACGATTTTCCCAACAAAAGTAACAAGCTTATCTTTTAGTCGTAGGATTAGTAGAAAGATGTTCAATATGGTCAGATAGTGAAAATGGGAGAGGATAAACAGAAAAACAAAAATTCGAGGAAATATTTTTTCTTCAAAAAAATATAATTCAATATAACATAGATCTATAAAAGGAATGATAATCAGGATAGATTCGCAAGGGCAAAATTATACTTCCTTCCCAATAACATTTTTACATATTTCCAAGTATACAGTAGTGGAGGAATACATTGTTGCAGACAAAAAATTCCACCGAAGTGGTAAATATATTTTATTGGAGACAATGAAATCTTGAAAGCCAAACAAATGGCAGTTACAAATATCATAAAATAATAAAACACAATCGTAGTTTACATGAACAAAATTCTGTTAAAGAAGATACAGGCTCACTGCTCATTTGTAGCGGCTTGTTCAG